TGTCTGCAGTTTTTAGGGTAAACGGATTCTCTCTCTTATTTAAGTTTGTGAATTTTTTCACGATTACAGATTAGATTAATTACAAACATTTCCACAGGAGAACTTGGGTAAGCTGATGTCCAACCTGAGGAGCACTCACCCTCACTTTGTGCGCTGCTTGATTCCTAATGAATCCAAGACTCCAGGTAATCTTGATCCTTGAAGACTCAATGCATCACAGTTTTGAAAAAATGTCTGGAACCTTAAGAACATTTGCATTTCAGGTCTGATGGAGAACTTCCTGGTTATCCACCAGCTCAGGTGTAATGGTGTGCTGGAGGGTATCAGAATCTGCAGGAAGGGTTTCCCAAGCAGAATCCACTACGGTGACTTCAAGCAGAGGTAAAGACATTTTTTTGTAACTTCTTACTTAGAGATGATGTATCACCTAATCTTCACTTTCTTAGATATTTCACAAGAATACAACTCTCCCCTAAATGTCTTCTAGATACAAAGTATTAAACGCTAGCGTCATACCTGAGGGACAGTTCATTGACAACAAAAAGGCTACAGAGAAACTCTTGGGCTCTATTGATGTTGACCACACCCAATACAAATTTGGACACACCAAGGTGAGCTACTCGGCAAATACACCATGTGGACAAAACTATTTAAACTCTTTCCTTCTCATTTTTGACTCTACTACAACACAATGACATTGTAGAGAATTCAGTCCTTCCAATTGTCCTGCAACAGTCTGAGGAAGGAAGGCCTGAAGCTTTTGAATAGTCGTTCAAGTCTAGGCTTTGTGTCAGTCAAGTTATTCCACACCAGATTACATAAAACATTTCTATATGGACCCCACTTTGTGTACTGGACACTGTTATGCTTCCTCAAACTTTTACATAAAAAAAAGAAAGGACAGAATTTCTCAAATGTCATTCTATACTATAGTATAGAACATAATAGATTTTTCCAACTGGAATTACTGGAACAGCCAAACTCAATTATTATTAGGGCCATATAGTGTATCCCAGGCCACATCAATGCTGAAAAGGAATTATTGGCTTCTTCAACACTACACCACTAATGTATTCCAAATGTTCTTGCAGGTGTTCTTCAAAGCTGGTCTGTTGGGTGGTCTTGAGGAGATGAGAGATGAAAAACTAGCAAGTCTGGTTACCATGACTCAGGCTTTGTGCCGTGGATATGTAATGAGGAAGGAGTTTGTCAAAATGACGGAGAGGAGGTACAACTTCAATAATGTTTGGAACACAACTGTTTAGTACCACAGAGTGATAAAGGCTGATTTACTGATTACAATTTACACAGGGACTCAATTTATTCCATCCAATACAACATCCGCTCATTCATGAATGTAAAACATTGGCCATGGATGAAGGTGTATTTCAAGATCAAGCCTCTTCTGAAGAGTGCAGAGAGTGAAAAAGAAATGGCAGCAATGAAGGAGAACTTTGAGAAAATGAAAGAAGATTTAACAAAGGCATTGGCTAAAAAGAAGGAGCTTGAGGAGAAAATGGTGTCACTTATTCAGGAGAAAAACGATCTTCTACTGCAAGTAACTTCTGTGAGTATTTTAGCTCTTATTTATCCCAATATAGATCCTACAGCTATGAACATAAGTCATTAACTATATCCATGTCAATGAACAGGAATCTGAAAACCTCTCTGATGCCGAGGAGAGATGTGAAGGACTCATCAAAAGCAAGATCCAGCTCGAGGGCAAACTCAAAGAGACAAGCGAGAGACTGGAGGATGAGGAGGAAATCAATGCTGAACTGACTGCCAAGAAGAGGAAACTGGAGGATGAATGCTCTGAGCTGAAAAAAGACATTGATGACCTGGAGCTCACCTTGGCAAAAGTGGAGAAGGAGAAATGTGCAACAGAGAATAAAGACAGTATTATATATATATATATATATATACTGCAGATTGTGATTCAGGCTCTTGATAATGAAACCAGTAATCAATGTTTCCATTTAGGTGAAAAACCTGACGGAGGAGATGGCCTCTCAGGATGAGAGCGTTGCCAAGCTGACCAAAGAGAAGAAAGCCCTCCAAGAGGCACACCAGCAGACTCTTGATGATCTTCAGGCAGAGGAAGACAAAGTCAACACTCTGACTAAATCAAAGACAAAGCTTGAATGGGGAGAGGGCAAATGCATTGGCTGCCAACCTTGACAAGAAGCAAAGGAATTTTGATAAGGTAAGAAAGATGTGGATAATCTTCTAATCTAAACCTTGAACCATGGACTTGGCTAATTAACAATGGCTACATTTCTTCTTCAGGTCCTAGCAGAGTGGAAGCAGAAGTATGAGGAAAGCCAGGCTGAACTAGAAGGTGCTCAGAAAGAAGCTCGTTCTCTCAGCACTGAGCTTTTCAAAATGAAGAACTCCTATGAAGAAGCTCTTGACCACCTCGAGACCCTGAAGAGGGAGAACAAGAATCTGCAACGTAAATGGCACTTTTATTTTTACAGCAAGGATTTTTTTTAAAACAGAGATGCATTAAAAAATACAAAATTATGTACAATTGATTTTTAAATACTTTCAGAGGAGATTTCTGACCTCTCTGAGCAGCTTGGAGAGACTGGAAAGAGCATTCATGAGATAGAGAAAGCCAAGAAGACAGTGGAGTCCGAGAAAGCAGAGATCCAGACTGCACTAGAAGAAGCCGAGGTGCCATTCCTTTGCTACAATACTAACATCACACCAGTGCTGTGAATAATATTAAAACTTTGTAAATGTAGTGATTCAAAACCTTAAATTAATGTAATTATTTCCTTCTTAAACGATCACAAATGTACTGCCATAACTCTGGAGGCATATAGTACAATTTGACAAGTTTAAAAAGTAAGTAAATTATTTCCTTTTTTCCTTGCAGGGCACCCTGGAGCATGAAGAGTCCAAGATTCTTCGTGTGCAGCTGGAGCTGAACCAGGTGAAGAGCGAGATTGACAGGAAGCTGGCTGAGAAGGATGAGGAGATAGAACAGATCAAGAGGAACAGCCAAAGAGTGATGGATTCCATGCAGAGCACTCTGGACTCTGAGGTTAGAAGCAGAAATGATGCCCTGAGAGTCAAAAAGAAGATGGAGGGAGATCTGAATGAGATGGAGGTCCAGCTGAGTCATGCCAACCGCCAGGCTGCTGAGGCCCAGAAACAGCTCAGGAACGTCCAAGGACAACTCAAGGTATCTCTCTGTTGAATGAGGAGTTTAAATGTTTGATAATATGAATATGATACATTAATTAACTGAAGCATGACATGCAAATAACAAAGAAAGAACATTGCCACAGGATGCCCAACTGCACCTTGATGAAGCTGTCAGAGGACAGGAGGACATGAAGGAGCAGGTGGCCATGGTGGAGCGCAGGAATTGTCTAATGCAAGCAGAGATTGAGGAGCTGAGAGCTGGCCTGGAGCAAACAGAGAGAGGCCGCAAAGTGGCAGAGCAGGAGCTGGTTGATGCCAGCGAGCGTGTGGGACTGCTGCACTCACAAGTACAAAAAATTATTAAATACTAAGAGCAAATTCAGGTTACATGATAATGTTTTAGTTAAATATACACTAAACTACCTGCGTAAATCCTGCAGAATACGAGTCTTATTAACACCAAGAAGAAGCTTGAGGCTGATCTGCTCCAGGTTCAAGGTGAGGTGGATGATACAGTCCAGGAGGCCAGAAATGCAGAGGACAAGGCCAAGAAGGCCATCACTGATGTGGGTGTTTGCATTCAGTTACTCTATTCTAATTTAAACAGTTATTTGACTTTGTTTAGCTGCATGTGGTAGCAAAGAGAACATTCATGGAAGCTAATTCTATCTATATTGATTAGCTCATTTTCATTGGCTTATATTTCAGGCTGCCATGATGGCTGAGGAGCTGAAGAAGGAGCAGGACACCAGTGCTCACCTGGAGAGGATGAAGAAGAACATGGAGGTGACTGTCAAAGACCTACAGCACCGTCTGGATGAGGCTGAGAGTCTGGCCATGAAGGGTGGAAAGAAACAGCTCCAGAAACTGGAGTCCAGGGTAAATTACAGACTAAATACAGACTTAGGGTGCACTCATACTAGGAACGATTGCCTTTTAACGAACCAGAGTGCGATTATACCCCCTCCCCACTCCCCCGCTGGCCTACACTTACATTGCACTTAGCATTTTGGGCTGGATCAGGCTTTAGTCATTACGATTCAACTTTTGTTTTGAAGAAAAGCTTTCTCGCTATTAGACTGTCTAATATATTTATCACTTATGTAGTGTAGTGATTTTCATTTAATTGTGCTGCACATGTCAGAAAATGATTATGGAGTCAGATGACATTGATGGAGGAATTTGCAGCTATACTCACAAAGTATAAATACTGTTTATAAATAAGGTAAAAACCAGACCCGTTATAAACCTATATTACTCAATACTCAAATTAACTGAAAATTGCTACTTTCCAAGTAGTAATAAATGTTTTTTGTAGAAAATATGACAGCTGTGCACACACAATTAGTAGCTGTTCCATGCTCCGGTGCAGTTAACGATTCACACTACATGCGTACCGCGCCAGAGCCCAACTGAACCATGCTCTGGCTCAACCTCTTCAAGCGGGCCAGGACATGGTTCAGTGTACCGTGCTCGGGCATGGTACAGAGTGATCACAGTAGCCAAAAGAACCAGACTTTGGGGGTGCTCGGGCATGGTTCAGATCCCCTAGTGTGAGTAACCCTTAGATGAACTGGCCATGGCAGAGATTTCACAGCTGATAACAATAACTCTCTACTGAAGGTGCATGAGTTGGAGGCTGAAGTTGAAGCTGAACAGAGACGTGGTGCAGACGCTGTGAAAGGAGTGCGCAAATATGAAAGGAGAGTGAAGGAGCTCACCTACCAGGTAAAACTACACAAGAATTAGATATTTAACAC